GGGCCCCCCGGCGGCGCTTTGCTTCCCGCCAGCTGCCCTGGCCCCTCGCGCGGGGCTGGGCCTCCCCCCTCTCCGGGCCTGCTGGGCCACGCTAGGGCGCGCTGCAGCCTGATTCCACCCCCCGGGGAGCTGCGCTGGCTGAGCGCTCCCCGAGAGCGTGTCCCGGCCGCTTAGGTTTTCCGTCTTCTTCTGCAGGGCGCTCGGGCCAGGCGCGCGTGTTCCAGGACCCCGGCACTAGAATCCCAGGCTTTAAAAGGGTTCGGAAGCATTTGGTTTCCTTCGGCGAGGATAGGCTACATTTCTAAGAGTCAGAGCCCCTGCTGATGCAATAAGTGCACAACAGTGTGTCCGTTATTTTGTTTAAACTGGGAGTCTAAACGGGTAACCGGTTAACGGGTGATGCTGACCAGTAACCAGTTAACCCGTACTCAGGATCAGCCCCCCCCCCCCCCCCCCACCTGTTCCCTGCCATAGGCAGAGGGCTACTCCATCCCTGCAGAAACAGGTGGTGAGAACTGGCTGCCCCACGTGGAGGAGGGGGAGACAGCCCTAAGCTCAGGGGGAGGGTAGCATCAGCAACCCCAAGTGTAGGGGGAGGCAGGAGCAGAAGCTGGTCCCTCACATGCAGGATCCTGCTTACTCGGTTAATTGGTTTAACCAGTTAACTGATTAACTGGGATCTTACATCTCTAGTTTGAACAATGGGACCATGATCCTAATTTAGTCATTATACATTTTTATTCACAATACAAATGGTAACTTTATCCTTGAATATATTTGACGCAACGTACCATTTTTTTGTGTTTTGTTTAGAATCTGGCAAAAAGCAGCATGGAGTCACTGACCTGGACAGGATGGATTCGCCATAAATTTACTAAATCAAGAATTCCAGCTTCAGTAAGCCCAATATTTAAGGATTTGAAAGCATGTTTAGATTTTATTTTTAGTTTTCTCAATACTAATTTGTAAGAGTACTGCACAATTCTGTTAAACTAGAGAGATATGCACTCAAGTTCTTGTGTGAATATCCAATTGTAGCTAATTTTATTTCTGAAATATGGCATTCTTGAATAATAAGCTTGTCACAATGATCTTACAAATTCAAGTCCTGGGTCTATAACTGGATCTTTGCTCTTGTACAGGGGCCACTGAAATGCCCAGATATGTGATTGTAGAATCATGATCCCAAACTTTTTGTGTCTTTCTGCAAACTGTGATGAGGAAACACCATCACCAATTTTTAGAAATTTAGCAAGAGTTGCCCCATTTTCTTTTTTGTGAAAGATCAAAAGTATATTTTAGCAGAGTATTCTTACAGCAAGATACTTTTGGATTCAGTAAATGTTTAAAAATAAACAAAGATATTTCTTGTATTTGTAGGTATTTCAGCCACAACCTTCAGATCATGAAAAGTATGGAGGTGATCCTCAGCAGCCTCACAAATTGCATCTTATCACTAGAATCAGAAGTGGAATAGGTCGTCCCTACTGGGAAAAGAAGATAATACATGATTTTGGACTGGATAAAGTATGCTTTTTAAATTATTTCATGTTTATCATGCACATCAGTAAAGTAATTAGCCTAGAAATTTAGGACAAAATTCTTTCAGATCTGATCCTGATTCCACAAATGTGTATGCATGTGCTTAATGCGACTACAGTGAGAAATCCCATTGAAATCAAAAGGACTGCACACAATAGTAAAGTTGAGCCAACAGGTCGGCATTTGCACAATTGTAGTCTAGATATGTGGATATTAATAGGAAATATGCATTTTTAAGGAAAGTAGAGCACCAGCATTGAGACTGCTATGCATGGCAGAGAAGAATTTTGCCTATTAGCCTTTAATTAATGTGTTAAAATTCAAATATATTTATGAATGCTCGTTCTTATGCTGGTGCCATATTAATCCGTGCTGATGAGTATTGGGCAACCTTGGTATGTTAGTGAATTTCTGCTAAAATTCATTAAACTTTAAGAGATTCACTAACTTACTCTCAATAAGATGTGATTTTCCCAAAGTAGTTTAATTTTGTGTATATATCTTCTTTTATTGATATATGAATGCTTCAGTTTAATATTCACTTCTTACCGACATATATTGCTTTTTGAAGTGAGTTTGTATTTTGCATTGTTTACAGAGATTTCAGCCCAGAGTGCACAAAAATATCCCAGCTGTGAATGCAAAACTGAAAGTCATAAAGCATCTGATAAGGTTTGTTAACTGTTCCTTTAACCAGCAACAATTAAAATAAACGGTTAGCATTGTCCAGGTTTTAAACAAATTCCCTTGTCCATAGAATACGACCTCTGAAATTACCTCATGGAATTCCAACAGAAGAGGAAATGTCAGATACCTTCCTGAAGAGCACGGGAGAATTAGTAATTCGGCGGCGTCTGAAACCAGTGGAACAAAAAGCAATTATGTCATAGTATGCACTGACTATTCCCACTTTTATAAAATAATCCAATTTATCAGTTAAATAATTTAAGTATTAAGGAATGATTAAAGTGAAACTCAATCTGTCCATGAGAAGCACAGCTTACTGTCTCTATCTTTGCTTCAGTCTACATGGTTGAGGATATTGGGGAGCTTCCTAAACCTGAGCCATTCTTTTTAGGTGACGCATCTGAGGAATTGTCCCAGATTGAAGTGTTATTAGAGGAGGTTTTGTAACAAATTGATAAACTTATTTGTTACAAGTCACTAGGACCAGATGGCATTCACCCAAGAGTTCTGAAAGAACTCAAATGGGAAACTGCGGAACTATTAACTGTGGTTTGTAACCTATCCTTTAAATCAACTTCCATACCTAATGACTGGAAGATAGTTAACATGATGCCAATATTTAAAAAGGGCTCTAGAGGTGATCCTGGCAATTACAGACCGGTAAGTTTAACATCAGTACTGGGAAAATTTGTTGAAACTATAGTAAGGAATAAAATTGTTCAACACATAGATGAACATAATCTATTGGTGGAAAGTCATCATGGTTTTTGTAAAAGGAAATCATGCTTTACTAATCTACAGTTCTTTGAGGGGGTCAACAAACAAGTGGACAAGGGGGATCCAGTGGATATAGAATACTTAGATTTCCAGAAAGCCTTCGACAAGGTCCCTCACCAAAGGCTGTTAAGTAAAGTAAGTTGTCATGGGAGAAGAGGGAAGGTCTTTTTGTGGATTGATAATTTGTTAAAAGACAGGAAACAAAAGGTAGGAATAAATGGTAAGTTTTCCGACTGGAGAGAGGTTACTAGTGGGGTCCCCCAGAGGTCTGTCCTGGGACCAGTCCTATTCAGTTTATTTATAAATGATCTGGAGAAAGGGCTAAACAGTGAGGTGTCAAAATTTGCTGATGATACTAAACTGCTCAGGATAGTTAAGACCAAAACAGATTTTGACAAGCTTCAAAAAGATCTCACCAAACTCAGTGATTGGGCAATAAAGTGGAAAATGAAATTAAATGTTGATAAATGTAAAGTAATGCACATTGGAAAAAATAATCCCAACAATATGTACAATATGATGAAGACTAATTTAGTTACAGCTACTCAAGAGAGAGATCTTGGGAGTCATTGTGGATAGTTCTCTGAAAACATCCACTCACTGGGCAGCGGCAGTCAAAAAAGCAAATAGAATGTTAGGAATCAAAAAAGGGATAGAGAATAAGACAGAGAATATCTTATGTAGAGGCATTAAAACCATGGTATGCTCACATTTTGAATACTGCGTGCAGATGTGGTCGCCTCATCTCAAAAAAGATATATTGGCATTGAAAAAGGTACAGAAAAGGGCAACAAAAATGATTAGGGGTTTGGAACATGTTTCCTATGAAGAGAGATTAAAAAGACTGGGACTTTTCATCTTAGAAAAGAGGAGACTGAGGGGGGATATGATAGAGGGCTATAACATCATGAATAGTATGGAAAAAGTGAATAAGGAAAAGTTATTTACTTATTCCCACAATATAAGAACTACGGGTCACCATGTGAAATTAAGCAGGCCTCCCCAGAAATGTGAGAAGGATCAGGGGTTCCTGTGTGAGAGCTTCATAGAACTGAGTACTCATGACTGGCACTCCATCTTGAGATGCATGTAGAAGCTGTTCCGCACCCCCCCTGCTCAGTAGTTTGAAAGAGAGCATGCCCCACCAGAGCCTATTACCTGATCCCACCTGTAATTAGAGAACTCAGAAGAAGTGCCCTCCCTGGAGTCATTGCTGGCCAAAGAGATGCCCTGGGAGGGGGAACCAAGCTCCAAGGTGAAGAGCAGCTCCTGGATCTTGGGCATAGTTGTCTGGCTGGTCTCCTCCTCCTTGTGTGGCTGCCACCCCACCCTCCTGCAGAGTGATGCTAGGTGTGTTTTGGGCAGACTCAATGACCAGGGTAGGCGCAATGGCTACCCCCACTAGAATGGCATCCAGCTAGTCAGAAAAGTGGCAGGTATCACTCCAGAACATCTGCTCTGCTCCTTGGCCTTCTGGTAGGCCCGCCTGAGCAACTTGATCTTGAGCCTACACTGCTTCAGAGTCCTGGTATGTCCTTTGGCCGTGAAGTGGGTGGTGATCCTGCTGTAGATGTCAGCATTCTGTTTCTTTGCCTGGAGGTTGTGGAGAATGGACTCCTTCCTCTCAGACCTTGCTGAGGTCCAGTATCTCCCGTGCACTGCATTCCTGTTCAATAGAGACTGTGGGAGCAGAAGAGCTCGCAGTCCAAGAGGGCATTGGGGGCATTCATGTCTCCGTATGCTGGTCATTTGCACAGGACTTATGAAGCTGGCCACATGGGATGGACATTTCTGCAGGTAATCAAGTTGTTGAGACAATGCCCTTTCTGGTTGAAATGGCAAGAAACTCTTTTTTCTTTGTGATCCTGTCTAATATCTCTTTTGTGGGCATTGATTCGCCAACTACTTGATTACCTGCCTCCTGCTTCGAAGACCTTTTCACACCAGACTAGAAAGAGAATCCTCTGAACTGTCATTCATGCTTAAATTCGACACTTTACATCTCGGTATAAACAAAGACATTACTTATCTTACCCATTACAAAGATAGCTTCCCCAATTATCACCTCTAATATCATTAGCTCACAGACATTTACCTCCCCCCCCATCTCCCTTCTGTTCTGAAATTTGATTTGTCCTTTTCATATGTGTTCATTTTTTTGATTGTATCCTTTGGTATATATGGTTGTGCCAATTTTTTTCCACTATTTGATTTGAGGAAGTGGGTCTGGCCCACAAAAGCTCATCACCTAATAAACCATCTTGTTAGTCTTTAAAGTGATACATAGTCCTGTTTTTTGTTTCAGCTAGACCAGACTAACACGGCTTCATTTCTATCACTATAATTTTGGACATGAATGGTTGAGAATAGTGTTATTCCTTGTGAAAAGCAGGACTATGGCATTTGACTTCTGCAGCTCCTTATGACAGAACAATGGGCTTGGTAGTGTGGACATGTTGCTTTTATAAATGACTGCTGGGCCACCAGAACAACACTTCAATGGCTGACTACACTCCATTGCAGAGACAGACAAATCACACACATAGCCTATGATTTGGCATGCTTACAGGACAGTTCTACTGCAGCCTGTTTGCAAGAATCTTTGCATGTAAATTAAGAGGATGCAGATTAGTATTTCTGTGCTTACTAAATGCATTGGTGAAGATGGTTTTCCATTTAGAAAAAAGAAATACAACATTTAGTTGGTGTATTTGGTTAATCAGTGGTCCGCAACCTTTTGGGGTTGCCAGTGTGCCTGGGGCAGGGGCTGTGCATGCACCATATGCCCGGGGTGGGGACCACGCATGCGCCAGGCGCCCAGGGTGCAAGAATGGCTTGGGTCGACCCTGTTCACTTGCAGGCACACATAAATGCCCCGGCGGGTGCCATGACACCCATGGGCACTGCGTTGGGGACCCCTGGTTTAAGTGTTTCTTGTTAGGCTCCCAGGAAACATGGTTACACATGCTTCTATGAATCTAAAGAAAGATACAAATATTCACAATTAACTTTAATTGAAAACATGGATAATGGAGACTAATGATATGGGAAATTATAATGTTTGACTGGACAAGTGGAATCTAACAAGCTACCAGTTGTATTGTCAATTGAATAATTAACAGTAGAGTTATCTTTTTGTTTTTGTTTGTTTGTAAAACATATGTCTGCAAATCCAGAATGATTATTTAGGCTTTCAGGAATATAGAAACCTGTAAAATTGTTGAGGTTCCGTATGCCAACATGAATGTTTTCACTTTTTTTGTTTATAGTAAAACCATCTTCCCATTGACTCAATAGACATTGGTTCAGATTCTTTTGGTCAAGTCAAAGACACCATTTTAAAAAAACTCTCCTTATCCTGTAGCTCCCACTGGGAGCAAGTGAACTATGAATGCACTCCAGAAAAAGTGCTCAATTTCGGATATTAAAGTCAAGAATGTAAGACCGTGCTGTGTTGGATAGTGTCACGTTATTGGATTTTAATGTGACCAGGCAGATCATTGTTGCACCCACTACTGTGAGTTTGCCCTAAATTCTGTGCAAAGTGGGCCATGTGAGGTATCTAATAAAAGCTTATGCTGTGCTGATTCTGTTTGTGCTACTCATATGGGTGTATGTTTTTGTATATAAAGTTATGAGTATGGGCTCTGTACTTATTTTAAATGTTTTCTGTCTGGGAGATAGTGCCAGGTGTCAACCACCTATTGTGAGGTTTGGCGACCCAGTGGATGCTGCATGGACAATGGCTCTTAAATGTTGTCAGTTGATACCTGAGGAGCACACAATGGCCCCTTGCCTAATTAGGACATACCTGGGTACTCCATGGCTCCTTGCCTAAAAAGGACATGGTGATCATGTGATCAGCTCCATTTTGGGAGGTTCATCACTCATGAGAACAATGGATTTCCCTCCTCATGGGCATGATTATAAAAGTATCCAAGGGAGGGTGCCTCCAACTTTTTCTTTGCGCCTGCGCTCTGCTTCAGAAGCCCCTTTGCTAAGGACATAGGGCCTAGAAGGATTCATTGACCCATCCTAGCATAGGATATACACCAAAGACTTTTAAGGTAGCAGTTTGTAAAATCTCTGCTAAGAGATTGCATCAAGAACTTGGTGACTGATGTTTGTAATGTGCTCTCTTTTACAATCTTACACTCAACCTTTTCTTCCTTTTTATTAATAAACCTTTGGCATTTAGATTCTAAAGGACTTCTTGGATAAGTCGGAGGTATAAATTGACCTGGGACAGCGCGGTTGGTCCTTTGGGACCAGGAGAACCTGTTCAGAGTTGGTGATATTGGCTTTATAACCTTCTCCCTGTGTAAGGAGTGGTGGTGGTTGTGGCACAGGTAAAATTGAGGTGTCTAAGCAGATTGCTCTTGAAAATTCTTGCTAGCCAGAGTGGCAGCTGGAGTGCTCTGTGTGACTGGTTTTCAGAAGGACCCCAGTCTTGGGCTGTAAGTAGCCCTGGTTCTAAGTAGTTTGCCCTGATTTGACCCTCTTAGTGGTGTCCCAAACCCCCTGTTACATTACAGATAGTACTAATGTTTTCTCAAGGCATTTATCATTATTTTTCATTTAGACCTGGTCTACACTAAGGGATAAGTTCGAATTAAGCTATGCAACTCCAGCTACATTAATTGCGTTGCTTAAGTCGAAGTATCTTAACTTGAATTTTGTCGATGTCTATACTGTGGGAAGTTGAAGGGAGCACACTTTGACTTGCTCCTTATAGAAGCTGGACTAGTGATATCAATGGAATCACTGTCTCAGTTTGAACTAATATGTCTTCATTAGACTCACTAATTCGAAGCTCAGAAGATCGACTGTGGCTGCTTTTATCTTACCCGCAATGTAGACATGGACTTAAGGAAGTGTTATTAGGCCTTTGAAAGGAGAGAAGACCTATGGTCTCATGTAGCTCAAATTTCTTTCATTTGATTTTTTTTATTTGATTTGCTTTAAATATGTCATTGTACTTATCCAACCTTTACTAATGCAACTGATAAGATGAGCATTGGAATCTTACTTCATTTGCTAAGACATTTTTGTTCAATTTTCATTTGCTTATTTTTGTTCAATTAAAGCATTCATCCCAGGATATGGACATTTCCATGAAAAAGTAAAAGATGTGTCAATAAAATCCCCACATACAATAAGTTTACAGATGTGTGTCTAGCTACAGTGAAAATTGTCAAATTAAATCACTAAAAGATTGGGGAAGAAAGCATTTATTTTCAAAGAGATCACTTTCCTTTTTTAGTTATGCCAACAGCAGACGAAATATATAATTTCTATGATTAAAATTAGGAAGCTAGAAAACTAACAGCTAGACAGAGCAGTTTTAATAACTCAAAGAAATAATCAGACTAAGATATTATCAATGTTTCCTTAGAGACCAAATGTTTTGAAGTTACTGAAGGTGAGCAGGGTCTGAATCAATGCTTCCTTTACAGCCAGCTATAATGAATGTATTACTGATTGCAGAATTTAAAGTGTGTTGTCCAAGATTGCAAACCCATATTTAAGCAAGTCTTACCACTGCCATCAATGGGCCAACATGCATCAATAAGGATTTTCTAGATACAGCTTTTCATCTTTCCCCAAACATAGTATCTCTCATTAACATCACATTGATAAATTGTAGTGACTACGATTATCTGAAAGAAGAGAATTTCCAGATTCAGTAACCCTGTTTTTTGAAAAACTTGGCTCGTGCAGTGGCATCGCTGGCATAGTCATTGCCAGGTGTGCCAATATCCATATTATCATAACTTCGGACATTTCCTATTCCTCCATTGTAGGCAGAAACCGCACCTGAAACAAAACACCAAAATAGTGAGCACAATCAATAGAAACGAGTTTTGGGGGAATTACAAGTATTCAGGGGTGGCAGGTTTATATAATTTTTGGTGGTGCCCCATTAGCCACACCCCCTGAACCCTGTTAACCACACCTCTGACCCCCGTTAACCATGCCCCCCTGAGCTCCGTTAGCCAGGCCTCTGAAGGTAATGCAACTGATAAGATGAGCATTGGAATCTTACTTCATTTGCTAAGACATTTTTGTTCAATTTTCATTTGCTTATTTTTGTTCAATTAAAGCATTCATCCCAGGATATGGACATTTCCATGAAAAAGTAAAAGATGTGTCAATAAAATCCCCACATACAATAAGTTTACAGATGTGTGTCTAGCTACAGTGAAAATTGTCAAATTAAATCACTAAAAGATTGGGGAAGAAAGCATTTATTTTCAAAGAGATCACTTTCCTTTTTTAGTTATGCCAACAGCAGACGAAATATATAATTTCTATGATTAAAATTAGGAAGCTAGAAAACTAACAGCTAGACAGAGCAGTTTTAATAACTCAAAGAAATAATCAGACTAAGATATTATCAATGTTTCCTTAGAGACCAAATGTTTTGAAGTTACTGAAGGTGAGCAGGGTCTGAATCAATGCTTCCTTTACAGCCAGCTATAATGAATGTATTACTGATTGCAGAATTTAAAGTGTGTTGTCCAAGATTGCAAACCCATATTTAAGCAAGTCTTACCACTGCCATCAATGGGCCAACATGCATCAATAAGGATTTTCTAGATACAGCTTTTCATCTTTCCCCAAACATAGTATCTCTCATTAACATCACATTGATATCAAAAAGGCGCCAGTGTAGACATACCTAAGAGTTTCCTCCCATGAGCAGAATGAATTTTGTGTTGTGCACCAGTACTGAGTTCATGTGGCTTGTTTGGATGTGCCACTGTGGCACCCAAGTTATTAATAAGTATCTTATAAACCTCCACCTTTCCCCTCTGCTGCCCTGTCTCCTCCCCTTGCTCCATCAGCTCCCCTGGTGCCTGCTGCCCCCCAACCCCC